AAAAAAAAAAAAAAAAAAAAAAAAAAGCTTCTTGTGTATAAATTCAGCATAGAGAAGTACTAAAAGACCCAGTTTGTGTGCCATTTACTTAGCTTTAAGGGGTTATTTAGCAGGGCAGGGGCACAAGAAGTTCCCCGTAGGGTCTTTTTTAGAGGTTTGGATTTTAAGTGCTTGTGTTAAAACCTGCAGTGGGCATAGGAAAAGCAGTGAGCTTTCATAGGGTTTTAGGCAGTGTTTTAACAGAAAGCGAACACGTGCACCTGCACTGTATAGTTAGATTAAACTCCTAATTTAATCTGTTAAGGATTCAGTCTTACCGGAACCAAGCTGGCCACACGGAGCACATGCAGACGAGGTGTGGTGCCCCGGCAGAAGTACAGCACAGGGCAAGGTCACAGCCTAGGATGTTAGCCCAGCTGTGCCCTGAAGTTAGTGAATGGCCTTGGCAAAGGCAGTAGGTGAACCGACAGAGAGCATTCTTACAAAGCCACGGAATCCACTTTAGTAGTGTCATGACTGTGTGTATGGGGCTGGAGGAGGGGGAGCTTTGCACATACACATCCTGATGCCGGTTTTCACAACACATGCTGTTGCCTTGCCATGAAATCGTCCCCAGTATGTAGCTGTAGTAACTGACTTGGAGGCCAAGCAGGCGACCTGGGACCCCCGTAGCAACAGGACTGTCATACCTGCCCTGGGTTCATTCATGCTGCTCTGCAGGAATGTGTTCATCAATCAGCATCCATCCCCCCAAGGCAGCTTACTGCTGGAAAGTGAAACTTCTACTATTGCACTGAGCTCTTCTGTCTTTCCTGCCCTCTCCCCCAGACGCAGCTAAGCCCTTCAGCGTGGTGGTCTTCCACTGCCGCCATATGTTCCACAAGGAGTGCCTGCCTATGACCAGCATGGTAAGTTGGCTGCTTGGCCACCAGCAACTCGAGAGAAATCGGTGCAGCCACAGGGATGTGCTTAAAATGATAACCCCTGTCCATGTCTCAGTTATAATATAGTTTATGTCACATCAGAAAAAGCAATGTACCTACTTCTCAAATGTAAAAATGCTTAGTATACGATGCTAAACATTATAAAAGCATATTCATGTAAGTAAATTTGTTGAGATGAAATTGATGACAATTGAGCTTTAGAAATGAGCTACAGTGAGAACCATTTTCTATTTTCTATAACTTTCTCGCCCTGATCTCTGTATCATGACACTGCTATTTTTTCAGGGTCAAGTCGGTTCCCCCAGGTCCCCTTGGGTCACGTTAGACTTGTCTTGCTGTGGGGTGTCTTTTGAGTCCAAGAATAGCAGCTGGTCTAGACAGGATCCTGTGTGAACCAGCAGTAACCTCCAGGAAGAGGAGCAGTGTTCCATCACCTGACCCCCATTCCCCCACCAGTGCTCCCATAATATTGCTGAATATGAGAGTAGAAAGGGTTGATCTTTTAAAATCTGCGTTTTTAATTGCATTTTTAGAACTCTCCTGTGCAGTTCTGTAACATCTGCAGTGCGAAGCACCGGGGACCAGGAAGTGCCATTCTGGAGATGAAAAAATAGCCCAGCTCTGCTTGTCAGCCTCCGCCTCGCCTCGCCGCTCTCTGAAGACCATTTTTGCAGCAACAGAAGCTTTTGTTGACACCAGCGCTGTTAAGAGATTTGTACAGGTTTATGTCGTGCTTAAGAAAAGCTGCTTCAGCTTCTCCCATTTACTAGATGTTTCTCTTTGCAGTTGATAAAGTTAGGGTTTTCCCTGTCCGTGCCTTGATGGGGGTTCACAGTCAATATTTCATCATTTATTTGTCTGACTCATTATTTAGGAATGGAAACCTAAGTCTTGGAGTTGGAAGTGACTTTTTAGGTCCTAGTAAAACCGTCCGGCCGTAATGTGGACTGCTGAGAGTGGTCCCTGGCTGGCCGAGTGCATCGTCACTGTGGCCATCCAGCAGCTCCTTGGACCTTGGGTCCATATGCTCTGCCAGCAACAACTCTCAAATTCTGGGTTTGGCTTTTTTTAAATTATGTCATCAGCCGTTATCTTCTTAATAGGCACTGAATGATACACGGTGCCTGTTGTCACGGACTCAGTGATGTCTGGGAATAACAAGAGCCGTCTGACGCCATGCAGTTTTATGTTGACTGACGACACGTTCTCTTTGTCTAGATGACCAGCAGTGTCTGGCCGTGGCAGGCATTCCGCGTTTGTTGATTGAATAAACATTAGCTCTTCCCACTGTGAAAGACTCACTCTTCCTGGGTTGCACAACTTTAATCAAGCTTTCTGACACCCTCTAAGGAATGCAAGAGAGTTTCAGCACCTAGAGTGTGAGGGAGCGTGGGTAGGTTTTCCTAGCAGGGAGGAAACGAGTAACACTGTAGAATCTGAGAGGATGCTCAGGGGAAAGGGGACTGTGTGAGGCCAGAGGATGGACACAACGACGTTTCCTGGAGCATTCTCTGGAGCCTCCTTTGCCCTCATAGAATGTAGAGAGTGTGGAATAGAGGGAGAGAACTCAAACTTGTGCCCACGACTCATAGTTACTGGCTTCATCTCCTTGGGATACATTGCCATCCTCTAACCAGTGAAAAGCACAGACTTGCTGTCCCTGCTCTCTTTGTCCCATAAGAGGGAATCAATGCAGCGTTCTGCATCTCTCTTTTTGGAGAGAGGGAAGGATGCTCATGGCTACCAAGCACACCATTAAACTTGGCTCGGTCATTCCCAGGAGGAGCATCTCATTTCATTCTCATGGGACCCCTAGGAAGAAGACATTATATCCCCAGTTTTACTGACAAAGAAACCAAAATGCAGAGATGTTATCACAGTCTCCAAGGTGACTGCCTGACTTTAGAACAGGGCTCTGTGCTAAGAAATCACGTGGCCAAGTTCACAGGAAAGGCACAGTACATCTCTTCGCACTGGAGTTCAAAAGAAAAATATTTAGAATTGGAAAGTCTTTGTTGTTATTGTCAGCCCTCAGAATTTCTGTATTTCAAGACTAGGGATCTTTCTGCTACGCTGCTAGTTTTTAGTTTTTGTTTTTGTTTTAACGAGGGAAACTCTTCCTTCACAAAAATACCTTACAAATGAGCCCAATTGGAAACACAGCTAAAAAGCAAACCTACTTCACCTGTATTGGAGAAGAGGAATGTAGTTGCAGACTTCATATAAAAAAGCCACTCTCTGAGTGTGAAACTGCCAAGTTCAACGTTATTTTGTGAAAACAGTTTTAAAGGATCTTACACTAAGTATGTCCATAAGTAAGGATGTCCATCTTTGAGAATTTGAGATGTTCTCAATAAATTTAATTCATTTGGCTGTTCTAGTACTAAACCATGTATATTTAATATTATGAAAATGAACATTTATTGAGCAATCACTGTGTGTCGGGCACTGTTCTAAGCACTTTGCGTGCATTATCATTCATAACGATATGAGATAGGCATTATGATCATCATCATTTTACTTAAAGGTTAAGCAGTCTGTCTAAACTCAAGGAGCAACTCATGGCACAAGATCTCCACAAGATGGTGGAGTAAAAGGACCTGAGCTCACCTCCTCTCATGAAAACACCAAAATCACAACTAACTGCTGAACAACCATCAGCAAAAAAGGACTGGAACGGACCAAGAAAGATATTCTACTTCTAAAGACAAAGAAGCTGCCACAGCAAGATGGTAGGAGGGGCACATTCACAATACAATCAAATCTCATACCCACCAGGTGGGCGACCCACAAACTGGAAAATAATTATATTGCAGGAGTTCTCCCACAGGAGTGAGAGCTCTGAGCCCCACATCAGGCTCCCCAGCATGGCATAGGGAGTAGGAGTTCCCAGATGGCTTTGAAGGCCAATGGGGCTTGATCACAGGAAT